GGGAAAGTTGACACCCTTTTAAAAAGGATACAAGAAAAAATATAATAAATACAATTAAATCATTTTGGTATTAAACTTTATTGTGAAAGTACAATAGCAAGTCCTTAGCAAAGGACATTGAATGTTTACAGATACAAAAAGTCCACATTGAAATCCACATTTCAAACAGAGTATAAATACCCTCCAAAGCCTATAGCACTTCTTTTAAGCTACTTCATTTTCTGCAAAAACTGCATAACTTTAAAACTATATTCCATTTGTGGAAGTTGGGCTAATGACTCTATTTATTTTTTTTTCTTTCTGTGTAAAACATGCTCTCTCAGTAGTAATGCAGACCTTGATGCAAGTTACAGGTTCCTAGTTAGTTGTTTGGGTTTTTTTTTTGCAATAATTCCATTATTCCAAGGTAAATAGCTCCATCAAGAGCAGCTGGCAAAGCTTCACTTATTCATCAGCTACTTTCGATATAAATCATCAGTCAGGGTCAGTGCAAATCTTTGGTGAAATGAAGAAAAAATGTAATTAAGAGAGAACTGGGATTGTGAAAGCATTGTTGTAAATATTGTGAGCATGCCCAGAATCAGCTGAAAGTGAAATAGCTAGCTATGAGCTAGCTATGAACAGAATAAGAGACCAGATTGTTTCTACACTCCCTTCATATGGTTCTTCTTATCATGTTTCTCACTGTGACTCATGCTTTCCTTCCTTAATAGCTGTTGCACAAACCATCTCTTTTCTTGTGGTCCCTCTTCTCCACTAGAGAACCTCATATATTTCGTGAGCTGGCTGTCTCATTATAACAAACCCAGGAAGATTCATCATATTAATGTTAGTGACAGATACAAATGAGAGGACTAGAACAGATGCAGAGCCACCAGCTTCCAGGGAGAGAATGATATATTTCAAGAGTTATTTGAATCAAAATAAACTGGATTTTTTCTTAGATGATAGACTTGAAAAATGCCAATATTTATTGGGTCATAAACCAGTTATTTGTCTGCATCCAAATAAACTGGTAAGTCTGGGAAGACAGACAAAAATCTCCTAAGAGATACGTATTTCTAATACTTTACTTGGATGAAGTACTACTACTTCAATGAAATATAGAGAAATACAGATTATATTACATGTACCCTGAGTTACCACTTTTTAAGTGGTTCAGCATAAAAATCTTCTTGTAGGTTGTCAGGTTTTCATTTCATTTGCAGAATGTAACCTCTGGCTGTGCAAAACAGTACAAACCAAGAAGAATCTAGAAAAAAAAAAGAAAGAAAAAACATTAAATGCCAGATGGACCTGATTATCTAATGCGCTGTGAAGAAACAAAACCATGAACTAGCCCATACAACAATCACTTGTTAAAGTCCTCAATAGACATATTATAAAATTTTCAGAACAGAAAAGCTCATGGTTAAAGACATGAGAGAACCTCTGGCTAGTGGAGGAAAGGAATAAATATCCCAGAAGCACTGATTGTGCTGTATTTTAAAAGCAAAAATAAAACGATTAGGGTGTGATTGACATTATGAAATGCAACCCATCTCTGTTTTAAGAAAACAAACCAGTACACAAGCTCACTTATTCTGCTATTATTTAAGCAGGTCAAATACCAGTGTTCAAATGACTGAACGCAGTGGAACACAGCTACTGTTTCTGTTTTTACTAATCTCATAAATTTTTCTAGCATAGGGAAGTTCCAAAGAGGTCTGTAGCACCATGTGAATTAGATTGACACCAGTGAAAGAAATGGAAAGCATATAAATTAATAAGGATGTCTTAATTTATTTTGTAACCAATAAAAGATGGTGATTCATGTTTGCTCTGCACATTAGCTGTGCCATTTCACAAAGTGATTCCTAGGCCTGTAACTACAGAAGGCCAGAAATGCCCACATTCAGATCTGAATAGGAGGGAAAAAGAACCCCTTATCAAACTGAGAGGAGCAAGGTACAGCGGAAAACAAAAAAGGATTTTCAGCAATCAGTTTGAGAACTAGCTATGGTTTTTAGCATCCAGTTCTGTCCATGTATATTCATGCATGGGTTATTCCTGCATGTAATTAAACTTCCATGTGAAGCCAGTGTACTTTTTCTACCTTTCCTTCTTTTTTATTTTTTTAGCTCTAGTTATCCAAAGCTTGCTTTATGAGTTGTATTGAATGTTTAGATAAAATATTTTTAAATGTAAGAAACTACAGCCTTGATTTGAGTAAAGAGTAAAAAATTAATGACAAAAAAAGTCATGATGTGTTTATGTAGGCATATTTTGGACTTAAGGAATTTAAAAGTTCAGTTGTCAAGATCAGCAATTAAGTTTAAAATGTGAGTTACTTTACCTTGTTGAGATAGATGACTTGGAATCTGTATTTCAAAGTATACGTATATGCCTTCCAAAGTATTCAGTGACTTTTGTTGTTGTTTTCCAAAACTTGACTTGTTTTGTGTAATGGCAGGATAAAATCAGCCTTGTCTTTCTCTAGCTGTGTGAGGCACATGAAGAACACTGTTTAAATTGTTGTTTAAGCTTTCCAGACGTCTAGGCCTCCTCAGCATTAGTGAGTCACGGTGCAGGTGCAGCTCACAGCTGGGAACAGTGACAAAGGACAAAGTGAATCAGTTTCTTTTTCTTTTCAAATCTTCTGTAACATAGAAACACAGATGTGGAGTTACGAGGGAGTGAAATTTGATTTCACTTTTGCCTTTCAAAACTGAACTGTAGGAAAAAAATCTTGGTAGCAAGTATTTGAAAGTCTTATGTGTCTGACAAAAACCACAGAGTGTATTATGGGTAACTTTTTGCTTTGAGTAGAAAGTGCAAGCTTGCTGAACTTGATACAAATGACCTGAAAGGTTTAAATATGAAGAAAAGGGAAAATAAAGAATGAATGAGAGTTGGAATTAAATGCTAACTACATTTACCCGCTCCAGTTAAATGCAAGGTTGTTTCACCTAGATTTGGCAGGCATGCAGATTAAACTGCAAAGACATATCAAAGACTTGTGGTATTTTATATGAAGCTACTTTGATGACTAATAGCATATTAGAACACATGCAGAAGCTTTTTCAACAGCACTGTCAGTCTGCCAGAATTGCAACCCATGTCGCATCAGTTTTTCTGTCCTTTCTGAGTACTTTTTTCTTGAGGAAGGAAGAAGGGCTTCTCTTCTGTTGGCCCTTCCATGCTTATCTCTTGCAATTGGTAGCGCTTATTGGTTTTGCTGCAAACTGGACTATTCTGTACCATTGAACTTAAGTTAAATAGTCTCTCCAGTAAATTGGTGTTAACTGACAAAGGTACTTAGGATCAATTGCTCAGTATTCTCAGCAGTAAATTTTCATGCCAGAGGTAGCAGTTTGAACCCCTTTATATTTAATATGTTTTCTGAGGTGTCCAGTTCTCTGAAATCTTCGAACTTCAGGACACCTGCCTATCTTAAAGCATGTGAGAAACTCTGTTTACTTCTACTAAATTAGAGTTTTTTCTTTTTTGAAATGTACTTACATGTTTTCAGAGTCTGTGTTAGAGCATATGAATACCGGCTGGAATGTGCCATAGTAAATCTATATTAAGTAGGCAGTGTCATTTTCCAAAGCCTAGTTATTAAACATTCTTTGAGAAGATAACTAATAACTTCTGGATATACAAGTAGAAAAAGATTCTGGATGTGATTAAGAAAGTCAGAGAATTACATTATTTATAATCCTTTCCACATACTTGAATGCCCTAATTAGATTACCAAGAAGGAACCCTCTTAAGGTCACCAGGGAGAAACTTTCTGAGACATGTTCAGGCACCTGCAGGAATCTGCCAGCCAAATGTCTGCTGTAGAGATGGAAAATCATCTTTTCTGCGGTTACAGCTTTCATGCTGCCTTCCATAGTAATGCTAAGGCAGCTCAACATTACTGCAGTTTGTTTTTAAGTCCTGAGTGATGGAGAGCTAAAAAAACAAAAAACCCCAAAAAAACCCACCACCCCACAAAAATACCCAACAAACAAACCAAGAAGCCTTTCATAAGAAAAAAGAGAGGAAAAGGAAAGAAAAATTCTAGACTTTAAGGGGTCATCTGGGTACACTGAGCAGCTGAAGTGCCATTAAAGAAACAGTGCTTTAACTTACTCCACTCCCCTCTAACACATACTGCATTTCAAAGTTGAATTTTGGGGGGTCTAGTTTAACTTTGAGGGCTGGAAAACTTATCCGTTTGTACTGCTGGTTGAACACAGCACCTGAGTCACTTCATGAGCAAGTCACACTAAATCCAGTCAGACATCTGGTAAGACAGAGCTCCTGCTGAGAGCAGTTTGCAGTTCAAAATAACAATATTCATTAGAGGATATAGATACTACAGAGCTGACTTCATCAAGGGAGAAATTCATGGTGAATAAATACAAGCCTAGTGTTTTTGAACTTGGAAAAACTCAGTTTGATAGTAGTTGATGATTTTTTCCCTTCAAATCCTCCTTCCAGCACTTTCTAGAACTGTTCTCGGAGTATTCTTCCCATGCCTTTATTGCTGATAGGTTCTTCCGAGAAGCCTATTTTTTCATAATATCTAAGTATTTGCCAGCAATTTTTCCCATAAAAGGCAGTATTTCCACATCCACTTTTGTACTCAGTGTAAATTTACATATTCTTTTAAATCTGTTTTGGCTGTATTTCTGCTACCATTCAAGGGAAAGTGAAAGAAATGGGACTGAGTGTAGGGCTGGCACTCTCACATAGAAGTACATTTTTTCTATTTAAAGCTCTCCCCAGTGGTTGGTACTGGTGACAGATTTCTTAATTTCCTCATCAGAAGCTTTCCACTTCACAGGAGTGCAAGTCATCTTTATCATACTATTTTATGGCATTGTCAGGGCTCTGAGTATGCTAAAAAGATGTTAGTGACCCTGACCAGGCACACCTGAGGCCACCCCAATGCCCATGACCCAGAGACTCTTATTTAGACTTGGCCCTGGGTACTTAGTCCCTGCCTGAGCTGTGCTCGAGGCAAGCTTGTCTCCAGCTCAGCCATTGTCTGGTCATCTGGAGCTTGACTTGTGGGCTGACTTCCATACTTGACCACGTACTCACCTCATCACCTTGATATTGCCTTAAGATTTAGTCTCTTTGTTAGACACAGCCCCTGTCTATGAGTCTATCCTGCTGTAGGGCTAGGCCCAGGGTGGTAAGACACCTGTCTGGCCAGCTGTGGGATTACGTGAGCTTGCCTTGGGAACCCTTTTTGGGATTAGCTTTTGTTGCGGAGCAGCTGGCCCTTGTAACATTACAAACCCTTCTGATGAACCGGCCTTCACCTGCATTCTGATCCCTGCCCCCAGCACCAACTCTTTACTGATCACTGGGCTCCTAATGAATTCTCTTGCAGTCTTCTGGAGCACATTAGTAACAATCCAAATCCTCTGTCCCATTCAGGCCCTCCTTACCTCTGTGGCTTTTCAAGGGTAGCCTTTCCCCCACCAAGCCCCAAGTTGCTGATGCAATGTCCCTTTCTAGTTTGCTGTCCCTATTGTGTCTCTGTGCTCTGGTAAGGCTACTGACACCCCTGCAGTGATACTAATCCCAGACCTGTGTGAGGACACCCCTTGCTAAGAGGAGAGGCTGTCATTACGGCTCTGAGGGCCTAATGACCCTCCCCAGCATCACCTGTATCATCCACTTATACCCAGGGGCTCTATTTAAGCTCTGTGCTCTGCTGAAGAGGACCTGGTCTAATGGAGCTCTTTGTTCTTGACTTCAGCCAGTGTCTTACTATTTTAATCTTGGCTTTGATTATTACTGTGGACCTGCTTGCTGACTCACTGGACTTGATCTTAATTCTGACCTGTGGATGGATTTTCCTGATTTTCCTATGTCAGACCTAACTCATTGCTGTGAAATTGCCTTATGATCTGGATTCTTGGTTAGACCTGGCAACTCTTTCTGCACCTGTCTTATTTGTATGGATCTATGTCCTGACTAGAGAGGTGCTGTGCTGCTGGCTGTGTTATCTCACTTTACTCTGGGGTCCCTTTTCCCTTAGGGAGTACTTAGCCCTTGCAACAACCTGATAAACAATCAGCAGATCTAGGTACAGTAATATGATGGATCCTGTGGCTTAAACACACTTTTGAGGGGCAAAGAACTATATTTGGGTGGGGGGAAGAGGGGGTTGAAGCTGAGCATGGGTCTCAGCTGTATTTAGCTCTTGGTCTACTGGCATGTTTACTTTAGGGGATGAACTGTCCTGGAATGGTTGTGTGTTCCTCCTGCTATGAAGATTCAGCTGGGAGGGTGTTGGTTCTGTCCCTTTCCCTTTCTGTTAGTATGGTGTGTAACTTACCCTGCCACATCTACTGTCTCTGCCTGACTGCAGAGTTTGGAAGATGTCTCTGCATTGGTTATGTGCAAGTCAGTGCTTTTAAGGCTTTCTTCTCAATCTGTGGTAATACATTTTAAAAGCAAAAGTAGAAAAACTGCAAGCCTATGGTTTTAAGCCCACAAGGACAATCCTTACAGTTTTGGGAAGGTGGAAGCAGCCAGCTACAAACTGTGAGAACAGTCATCCTGGGTCCAGCCTACTGTTGCATCCAAAACAGTGACCACTTGTGTTTGCCTGCTGAAGAAGGTAAAAACAGAATAAATCTACAGTGATGTTTAGTGTACCCCTGTGACTTCCTTATGCACAAGTCCAGACACTGTTGATCTCTATGTATGTCCTAATACTTCTCAATTATTTTTTTCTTGCTTTTGGGGAGAAAAAAGCTACAGCATTGCAGTGAATCAGATGTTTGTTTCTGGCCTAGGTAACGGTCACAACAATTGGTTATGGAGACAAAGTTCCCCAGACATGGATTGGAAAGACAGTAGCTTCCTGTTTTTCAGTATTTGCTATATCTTTCTTTGCTCTGCCAGCGGTAAGTAGAATTTGGTTCACCTTTTTAAAGTGTTTGTTTGACTTAGGGCTTACAATTAAGTAGTTTTAAATTGGAGACTTTGATAGGAAATAGTGGGATTGGGATGTACTCAAGTGTGTGTTTGTGTGTCTGTGCATACATGTGCAAATGAATGAAACCCCTGTATCCTTACTGTGGTCCTAGGAAGGAGGTAAGAATAATTTTCATTGCTCAAAGAACTGAAGCTATTTTGTGAGGTAAAGAGAGGGTGAGAGGTTTTGTATTAGCATATTGGTGCCAGAGGTGAAACTTCCTTAATTTCTGCTATTTTGTGATTATACATGAGAATAATTTGGGGTCGTGCAAGGAGAGGAACACTGCCACAAAGCAGAGGTCTAGGGAACTGCATCTGCTCTCCTACATGGTACTATAAAGCTTCTTTGGGCTTTTTGGATCTGGAAATTACTGAATGGGGGGGAAAATAAAGTCAGCATTATCAAAATGATGAGAAAAGACAAAGTATTTCTTCAGTAACTATTAGTTTTACAGAAATGCTGACATTATAAAGCATATCTTTAGTGGTTTTTGCTCGATTTGCCTGGAAAATCAAACTCAGTTCTGACTTGTGGCAGGGGATTAAAAAGAAGTGTAAAGAACAGCTGTAGATCAGCCATGTGACATTGGCATTTGCTTCTTCCACTATTGTGCAGCGTTGCCTTTGGAATGCGACTGCCTTTGTGAATGCCTGTGACTTAATGTTACCTATAGATCACAGCAATAAACACATGCTGTTTATTTAAGTTACATGATGCCAATTTCAACATACTTAATTTCAGATTTATTTGTTGGAATAGGTTTCTGCCACTGTGGACACTTGAAAATTCAGAACTTTTTCCAGGAAATGTCTGTTTATTTCATATCTTAAGTTTGGTTTAGATACGTGAAGTCATGTTGGAGTCTAACTAGTAATTTTGCTTATATTTAGGGCATTCTGGGATCTGGTTTTGCCCTGAAAGTACAGCAGAAGCAACGTCAGAAGCATTTCAACAGACAAATTCCAGCTGCAGCATCTCTAATTCAGGTAAGGCTCCTAACAGTAAAATGGTTAAAGTGTTGGAGAGGTAGTGTGGCCTAGCAGTTAAAGTACTGAGAATCACTGTTGCTAGGCTTTATTATAAATCTATAGCCTGTGTTTAACCACTTTGTCTTTTTGATCCACTTCACTAGAGGGAATTAGATAATTGCCTGTCCCCTCTTATGAGTGAGCATTGGAGGCTTTACTAGCCTAATATTCACAGGCATAGGGGTACTAACTGTATGTAATAAGTCTATTTGGTGAAATAGTAAAAAAAAATAATTCTTTAATTCCTAAATTACTTTTTATATCCCCTTAGGTCCTGTGCATCTGCTAAATCCTGAGGTGATAAATGTGTGTACATGTAACTGTATGTACACACCTCAGTTTAGAAAAATATCCCAGCATAACATTCTATATAATATAAATAAGGTAATGTCATGATGCACAAATACTGAAGTGTGACACACTGCAGAAAAAGGGAAGCAGCAGCAGTATTACATGACATTTATGGGGATTCACTTTTATAGAGGTTAGGTTTCTTTTTACTGTAGGCACGGTTAGACCCCAGCTCCTAGGGAGACCGGTACGAAGAATGTACTTGGATCGCTGTGTGCTGAGTGCATGTTTCCTTGTGCAAATTACACTTAACAGTTTTATGTATAGGGAAGAATGTATTTTGCTAGGCATGTTGTTGTGTGGTATAGCACAGTGATTGCAGTCAAAACCCTCTGCAGCTTGTTGTCAGTTTAGTTTGCAGCAAGATCTGACTTGCCTGTCCTGCAGGACAACAGTGACTGCTTATTCACTGAAGTTATTGGGTTTGGGTTTTATTATAGACTCTGTGGCGGTGTTACGCAGCAGAGAAATCCTGCACTTCTACAGCAACGTGGAAGATCTATGTTACATCACCGGTGCAAAATCCCAAAAAACCACCAGCGCCATCTAGCCCTAGTCTGAGAAAACAGGTAACGTAGAGTTGACAGAGCTCTGTTCTTTCTTTTAGGATAACTTGCCGAAGTCCTTGTGAAATGTCCATATGATTCAGAGAGCTGAAAGCCATTTTTAATGGGGCATTTGATTTTTTTCCTCATGCCACTGCATGATTAGTTTTAATTTTCCTTAAAATATTCCTGAGGGACAGAAAAACTTAGATTTGCCCTGGCATTGTGACAGATGCTGATTCTCCATTGGTCTATCACCTTTGAAGTCTCCTCTGCCTTCTCAAAGGGTAGTGTAAGTCAAGGATGACACTTTCTAATTGTGCATTTATTTTGTATAGTAGTTCATACAGGAAGAAAGGAGAAAGCTAGTTTAAAAAGTTATGTTCACATTCAACATGTGGCTGACAGTATCTATGTTTGTCTTGCTCAAGTACTTCTCTTCTTTGTAATTTTGTTTGGGGCTGTGTGTAGAAATTTGGCCAAATTCCTGAGCTGTGACTGCCATAAAGTGGAATAGCATTTGCCAATACAGATGGGATTGCCCAAATATAATTGTGTAGTTCTATTGGCAAGCTTGCTTATCTTTCAGCACCCCTTCTGGAAAGGTGCTCAAGTTTGCAGTAGGTCTAGCTCAGATACCTTGGGATTTAAAGTGCTGTTAGAGGCTTGGTTTTTAGGCAGTGGAGTCCCACTGATGCCTCTCGCCCAGCACAGAATTGCAGTACAATTTCCCCGCGGGTAGAAACACATGTAGAAAGCTGTATTGGTGTCATCTGTGTGCATGGATATGTTTTTGTGTTACAGCAGTGTGATCTACATGGTGCTGAGCAGAGTGTAACTTTGCTGTGAGACTTGCTTCTTCACAACTAGAGACAGAAAAACTGTGAGGAAAGGGCTAAAACTGAACTAAGGCTGGGTAGTATGTGTGCTGAAAAGCAAGCAATTCATTGTGGGAGAGCTGGAAAAAATACATTTTTTAGTGCCCTTAATATTTTCCCCTCTATTTTCTGTAGTGAGAGGGATTTCCCTAATATATTATGAAACCTGAACTTCCCTGTGAACTGTTAACTCTAATTCAAGAACATAGAAATGGTTCTTTCATCTCTTGCCAATGCATAATCTTCTCTTATTAAAGACAACTAGTTCTTTCTCTACCCAGCCTATTATTTTAAAGGCTTCAACTGTATATTGATTATCTTGTGCATGTTTTAGCATTTTGTTCTCCAGAGAATTCCTAGTTAGTTTTCCTGCTATGAGAGCTCAATCTTTCATTTAAAACACTTTGATGCATGGTAGTGCATCCACTGTGTACAGTAAATACCCACTTCTACCATTTCTCATGCCCTGTTTGATTAGTTTTGAACATGCTTTTGTTTAATTGCTGCAGAGGTGAAGAGAAGAATGAATTCCAAAAGACTGAATGCAGATTGTTCCATTTCTGAATATATTAAGCCTGCAGCTGTTTGTTGAGAATACTCAACAGAGACATCTTCTGATACCATCTCATTTCTACTATCACAGGGTAGAAGATACAAAAGAAAGGGGAAACTAGGCTGTGGTAATGGTTCTGCACCTGTAATAAACCCTGGAGAGAATGCCTTGTCTATTCCACAGATAACTTATGATCACATTTGTGAACAAGAAGACAAAAAAGATGTGTCTTTCTACATTGGTGAACCAGGAGGTAATTTACTTTCATTTATGTTCAGGTTGGCATTTTTTAAGAGACAAAGTTAAAGTGAATTGGACTGATTAAGGAAAAAATCTGTGAAAAAATAATTTAAAATCAATTAGTAAAGCAAGATGCTTCAGTCCAAGGACAATACATAACAGAAATGGAGACACAAATTAAAGGAATTATTTACATTAATATGGTGTGAACATCAAAAAAAATTGCTTTGTTTAGCAAAGTTAATTCAGTTAAGATTTTGGATATAATGTTAATTCTACTTTTTTAATTATGTCAGAGCTGGATGGAAAGCTACCTTGGATCTACCCTACTACCTCACATAGAACTTGAAGGAAGGAAAATAGAACAAGAAAAATCTTTACTTTTTTACAGCACCCTCTTAAACATTGTGCAAATAAATTTATAGAAACAACTAAATATTTTTATGCCTATACCAACCAAGAGGTTTTGAAAAGTGGATCTTTCTTTTCTTGATTCATTTTAAATATTGTGTGTTGCTATAAGCGGCTGTTGTATTTCAACCTGGAAACTGGCTGAATTTCACTATAGAGCTAAGATACTGCTTTTGTTTGTAATTTTTTTTCCTTTAAGTTTGTATTGGAATTGTGGGTATGAGAGCGTATTGCTTACTAGAAAGTGAGGGATTTTTTGAAAAGCTAGTTTTTCCACCTTTGTGTTGATTTCCTTTGTTGATGGAGTTGGGGAAACTCATGATAGTTGTGGGTCTGCTACACCTCTAACTTGAGAGGAGGTAGTTTCCTCGTAGTTTGAGGAGTTATATTCCATACCTAGAGGCATGCAAATCCTTGCCAAGTTAACTCAGGTAGCCAAAGTATAGTGTATTATCATCTAGTGGTTTGACTTTGGTTTTCATCTGTCTTTGATGAACCTGAACATTAACTCTGTGTAAAATTCCTACTCTTATGTGACATTGAAGTTGACACAATTTCAGACTGGAGAGAGTATGGCTGTAGTCTTGACATGTTGTTTTCTTTATTAAAAAGTACTTTAAATTTTTTTTGGAGAGAGACTAGAGAATATTCTCTCTCCCTAGAGAGAATATGTAGTGTCTTCTGTAGTGAATGCAATCAAAGATAGGAGTTTCACTGAGTTGCTAGATTATATTGTCACTGCAACCCATGTCATCTATGCTAGAACAGTCAGTCAGATGTGGCATAGCAGGGACCTGAGAGCTGTGGCATACTGAGATACATTTGTAAGGAGTAGGAGCATCTGGGTCCCACAAGAATTTAGAAAGACCTTCAATCCTCAGCCGCCTGCAGGTGATGGCCGCGTAGTACCATTGTGGGAGGAAGAGTTTCTAGATTCCACTGATGGAGGTTTTCATCACACCTTATGTTTTTCCTTATGTTTTGTAATCTTATATCTGTCACTTTGAGGTCAAAATGCTTTTCTGCAGTGGTGTTTTTTCAATTGTTATTTGGCATTTCCAGTGATTTTTATAGCCTTCTGGGAAAGGGGACAAAAGGTGTGACTTATAAATAAAGTTGCTGCTTTAACTATGTATTTCTTAACAGAATACTTTGTCCATTCTCAGCATGTTTATTGGAGCTGTGCAACTTCCCTTGCTGACCATGTAATAGCAGATTTTCTGGAGTACAATATGATGCTGTGGTATCAGTTGGTGATGGACAGAAGTAGCAAAGTATTGTGCAACTTCTAAAAGTAATAAAGACAGTTAAGATGTTGAGGGCTATGTTGTCTGTATTCAAGACTCTGCTGGCATACATTTATTCATTTAAGCTATATTCCTTAAATGTTCATAGTTAGTCTGAGCATCAGAGGAAAAAAATTGAAAATACAAGCCTGTATCTTTTTCTGTCTGAAAGCTTGGGAACAAAAGAAAATGAAAGAATTCTTTTCCACTTTTTCTGAAAATGTTTTCTTATTTTACTTTTATTATAGCTGGTCTAATTTATTCTTGTTTTGAGAGCCATGCATATTATTCCCTTACCAATTAAGTTTTATCTATTTTTCATTTTCTTTCACATTTTGCCTTAGCCAGTGTCAGGGGTAAGTAACACTTCATTTGATTTTTCTGATTTATTCCTTCTGTTGCAAAGCTTCCAGGAATGTAGTTGGCTAACTTGATTGCTCAATTGACTGAACATTCTTGACACCTCTCAAGTTTAAACCTGATTTCTCTCACTAAAGTTCTCCTTGCCAGAATTAATACACTTATGTTCTTGGGAAGTGAAAGTACTAGGCTTCAGGCTTGTAAATGGTGGTATATTTTTCATGTTTTAAAAAGCTGAAAGTAGAAAAGGCAGAGAAAATAATAATAAAAAAGGCAATGGAAAAGGGCCATGCCAGTTTCTATTTCAGTGTTACTGTAGTGGAATATTTTATTAATTGGTTTTGAGCCTGGATATTTTACAGATGATGGCAAACTTCAAGGTTGAGTTAGATCACTTTTATAGGCCTGACCTAGGAGGAGCAGAGCTGTTGCTCTAAAGCAGCTCTTCCAGTCTGCTGCTCTGGTCAGGTGTGAGAGAGACTGTAGGGAGACCTGAAACAAATGACTGGCAAGTTCTGGCAACAGAATAACAGTTCCTCTAAATAATTTCAGTCCCTTTCTCCCCAGAACAAGGAATTTAAGTTTAAATTTTCTTGATAAAGGAGAGATTTAGCTTAATTCAGAAAGTGCATTGTGTGAGCACACTTTTTTTTATGAAAATAGGGTTTTTCTTAGGATATCCTCTTCTTTACCCATGTCCATCCATTACCTTCTTGGGTTGCTTGAAATTTGCTTAGGAGGCATATCTTTCAAAGCTGAGCAGAAATGCTTTCCTTTTATACAAGAAGGTGGTTTGTGAAAAGAGAAGCTTTACAAAGCCTATAGATACGATCAAGATTAAGGTTCCTGAGATACTTGTATATGTGTAATAAACACGTATTGATAGTGCATAATGTAGAAACTAAATCTTCTTGTATCATAAATGATGGAATCTTGAAACAAACACTTCATAATCTAAAAGGAAAACAGTTCCTGGCTTAGGTCTGTACCATTCATGGAGTTTAGAGTGTGACTAATTTGGAGTGCTCTGTAACCTGAACAACTTCACCATCCTTGCAGGAATGGAAAGGCCAAAGTCTTCCACAGTAATAATTTCTTTGTTTGAAGTCGAACCTCTCAAAATGAGGAAGCTATTTAGAAATAAATTTAAAAGGAACAGCTGAAGTAAACATGGATTTAAGAAAAACAATCCTGGAAAATAAGTGTAATGAAGATACTCTAGTGCACCATACTCTTTTCGTGGATATCTGTTGCTTCTACCGAGGCACTCTTTCCTATCAGGGTGTATGGTTTAGTTTTTTTCTCGTAGTGATTTTATCCTCACCTGAGATTATAGCTATAATTGTTCTCTAGAGTCTTGAAATTGATCTTTACCTGTACTTCTGTCAACCATTGTGTGCACACTCCTTCGCAGCAGGGTCTGTTATCAGGATGACAAGACATGTGTGAACTCTCTGGCATCTTCAAAGTTCCTGTAAGATTTAAAGAAGGCACTTAAGTATCAAGATGGTAGTTACTTATGGTAGTAAGAGTGAAGCACATCATAAAGAGTGATCCAAACAGAAGAAAAACAAATACCACTTGAGAGTCACTGAAATCTTTTACATGCACTCAAGTTTCATCTTCAAATAACAGCTACTCACTGCAATGTATGCTTCTCAAAATGAACTGAATAGCTGTTTCATAACGTTTTTTATTAGGGAGGAAAAAATTAGAAAAATGTGAAAGTTTTTGGACCTTGAGGGTCAGCCTCCTGGGACATCTCTAGCAGATGGAATATATTATTCTCTGTCAGTTATTGTAGGTTGTATACACAACTCATTATTGTAGAATTTGTCAAAGTCACAAGACTCTCGGTGATAAATCTCTGCTGGGGTAAAAACCAAAATTCCCTATTTATCACTATACTTTTTTGTTTGCTTATTGGAGTTTCTTGCATGCTGACATATTCCACTCCACTTCTCCCCCCCTCCCATATATATAAAGCAAAACTGCACAAGTGTAACTTTTCACCAGGAGCAGAGAGTGAACTGTAATTTTCAATGACCCCCAGAATAACTTTGTAAACACACTTACATAAAAGTGTGTAATAGTGTTAATGTTGATTTATTCTGTCTGTAATGCTAGTTTAGATGCTGACATTCCAGAGTTCACTTACATAATAATAGGTTGGTTGTTCCTGGAAACCAGTTGCATTTCCACTGGGAGAAAGGGCTGTTTTCCCTCAGTGGTGTAGATGGATTATAATCTGTAGTGCATATAAAGAAGCAAACATTTTAAATGAAGTGGATTCATAGATTCCAGTGCTGACAAGCTGAGTGAAAGGTGAGAAAAAACATGTGGCTAAAATTAACAGAATAAAAGAAACACCGAAGCTTTTGAGGGTCTGCATAACTGTCGGTAAGTCAAAAAAGCATAAATATAAAGATATGCTCCAAATTTGTAAGAGAAAGTATCCAGATACCATGCTTCTGAAAAACATCATGCCCTTAAGAGGATGAGTTTTGCAGATGCTGGTGGTTTTGCAGTGAGAATCTCTACTCAGCATAGGGCTGTTTGACTTCTGAATTTGTCAGTTCAGGACTGGTACCTGCCTGTGAGTAAAAATTGTGGAAATGTATTTGTATGCCTCCTCCAGAAAGTTTTCAGTCTTTGCTGTTTCAGCCCTGGGTGTCCTGAGTGAGAACTTTCAGTGAATTTTGTGGTTTATCTTGCATGACCAAAGTGGATGGTAGAACTGGGGGTGGGAGGTGGTGTAAGGGGAGATGGAGGCTGAGAGGAAGAGAACAGCTGCCTCTGCCAAACTCACTCTTACTTCTGATTAAATCTGGCAGCTTTTGAGGTTCAAACACTTTTATTTTTGTTCTGCATTTATTCAATTCCCTGTTCTGCCAGGTTTAGGACCAGGGTTTAGATCACCAGTCACACAGAGACTTGGGCAGGCACTTTGTACCAG